AAAAAAAAAAATTCTGTGCCTTCCAAAATGTAGGCTTCATTTCTGGTGGAAAATGTGTGACAATAGAACAGATGTGCATGTCTGAGACAAGACAGAGAATAATGGCATACTGCACTATTTTAATCACAGAGGGTAAGTGTTGAAATCTCCCTCCAGAGAGTTGCAAAACAGCTCACTTACCAAATGGTCCCATCTATACCAGTGTGTCTCACTGAATCTGAAAACCACTCCTTTTTAAAATCTATTTATTGATAGTGGAAATCCAAACATCCATTCCCGCTCCCCCCAAACTTATTTCAGTGAAATCCAGATCACTTGTCCCTGGGTAGTTCACCACCCACTCACTCTATAGTGGGTTGCTAAATCAAGGATGATCTGTGGAGAGGTTTGCTGCAGCTTTTACTACAAAGGGGTCAGCTTCTCCACTGAGCTAAGCCTCATCAGCAATCTCATGCAGAGAAGCAACACCCTTTAAAATAAAACCTTTTACACAGCTGGAGCACCTCAGTGGTCCCATGCAGCCATTTGCTGCAGCTGTATAACCGGTTGTTTCACAAACCTGCATTTTTGTGCGCGCTATGGATCACAACCCTATAAGCTAACAAGGCTCTACAATCTATATGGACAGGCGCAGCTAACAAACCATGCAGTGCTTTACAATCTGTTAGATAAAGGTTATTATTCCTATTCAACAGGTGGAAGAACTGAGGCACACCTGACCATAATGTCAGTGAAGGAGCTAAATTTAAAAAAAAAATTTTTTTTTTTTTTAATTTCTGACCCAGTGCTCAATCATTTTAATCAGGCCTACCTCCCTGTGGATGTATATGATATTATTCACAAATGCAAACTCAGATCTTGTCTGTTGTTTGTCTCCAAAAATTACAACTGTAGACAGAGCTTTGCATATACAGTATCTAAATTGACAAAACACATCTAGAAACAATTCTTACAATATCTCTAAGTAGTCAGTCAGTTAACTGACATTTCTAAGTCTTTAAGATATATTTAATAAGGTTATGAAAACAGGCTTCCTCCTCCTCTCACTTTCCTCAGCACTGAGCATGTTTGGCAGGCTAAGCTCAACTTTCTTACTTTACAGCCTTGACATTCACATACCCTTGTCACATCCCAACCCCTTCCCTACCCCTTATTTCTGTTGGCATGTCAAAGAAATTCCAGCCTGCGGATCCCACTTTGCATTATACTGAGGCTTAAAGAATTCATAGTGTAACGTGAGCTGCAAGAATACCACTCCTAAAAAGAAACATCCCACCAGGATTATTAAATCTCTGTTTTCCTGAGAAATTTAGCTATTGCACCCAAAGTTTATTTGAATGAGAGGGTCACAGTAAGAGGTTACAGAAAATGCCACTCATAGCAGTACGGTACAGCAGCAAATGATTTCACACTTAACTACATGTCGCTAGAAATGTAGTGTAAGAGTCGTTAAATGGTTTGGATACTTTTCATCTTTTCACCGGGATACTTTTACTGTAGCATAACAACAGCTCTCTTCTTTTTCCTCCTAATATAAACAGCATAAGACTGACAAGGGCACTGAGAAAGCTTACTTCATGTTACTCCCACACTTCAAATCTAGCCTTGCTCTCATTGAAGTTAACAGCAAACTTATTGATTTCAGGTGCGACGTTGTGGATGGACACAAATGGAGCAGGACTGCACTTGCCAAGGCCAGGAAAAAAGGCAGCTGTTGGAACCGAGATGCAAAATGCAACTGAGAGCCTGGATGGGACATTTTGCTGGGTAGATGGATGGGAAAGACCACCAGAGACACATTATGAAGAACTGGCAAAACGTAAACCTAGACCTGATGCGGCGATTTAGAAAAAGTTACACGCCAAAGATAATGCCCAAGTTATGGGTTTGAGTAATACACAGGGTAGCGTTGCTTTCCAAACTGGTTAAGACACATTGCAGTATGGAGGGCTTGGAGGTGGGAGGGAATGGAAGGAGGACTGAAAACTCCATTAAAGCTATACTGTGCATGAGCTGACAACTAAACAACCCAGGAGGAGATGTCAGAGAGCCAGGTTGAAACTTCAGTTTGAACAGTACAAGACGTGTTTGGAGGAGAGAGGCAGAGCTGTAATTTTTCGCTGCTTAGTTCAAATACTTCCATGGGATATTTAGCTTCTGCCTGGACACCCACCTAAAGTGGGCAGAAGAGCCCTGTCACCACAGACTGTAAATTCTCTCTCATTACTTTATCAGACAGATTACATAGTCTGAATCGATGGCTGAATATCATTATACTTCACTCAAATTATTCTTACTTTTTCCACTTGCCCCCAACCCCCACAGACAGATTTCTCCTTAGTGCTCACTGAAGTGAGCCACCATCACATCACCTTAAACTAACTATTATCCTAGAATCATAGAAAATTAGGGTGGGAACGGACCTCAGGCATCTACTCCAACCCCCTGCTCAAAGCAGGACCAACCCCAACTAGATCATTCCAGTCAAGCCTTTGTCTGGCCTGGTCTTAAAAACCTCCAAGGATGGAGATGCCACCATTTCTCTGGATAACTGTTCCAGTGCTTTACTACCCTCCTAGTGAGAAAGTTTTTCATAATATCCAACCCACACTTCCCTTGCTGCAACTTCAGACTATTGCTCTGACTGATCTGTAGTCTCCCTTTTCCAGCTTCTGCTTCAACTCCAGTACTACCCTTGCAGAAGCATACCCATGTTTTTAAAATGTTTGCACATTCTGAAAGTTAGTAGAAAAGGCTCAATTTTTTAATCCATTTGTGCATATCCATTTGCTTACCAGGGTGGATATGGGACCTAGAATACACACGATCACATGGCAATTGCAAGCCAGAAAAATCATTTTTCTTCTTTTATTACTCCCTCCCCAATATTTTAAAAATCAAATGCCTCTTGCAAGTAAGCATTCAATTACTTATGCATTTCCTTTCATTTTCCATCAGCTGAATACACATCCTCATTTAAAAGCCTTAGCAGTCCTCCCTTTTTATCAAGTTTCCTGATAAACACAGCCACAGACAATACCACGGACACGGACACTATCCAACAACGTTCAATTGTGCCACACACAGGAGATGTCAAGAGAGCAATCTTACTCTGTGCTATCCCTTAAGCAGCTTCCATTTGACGAGCACGCATGCACACAGACGGCAGGCAGACAACACCACACCAAGATAACGAATGGGTCTCTAGTATTTCAGATTTACCTACAACCGTGTGCTTCCATCAGAACTTTATGTGTGTTTTGCTTCTGGCACTATCATTAGCAGTCCCACAATAAAGACTGTTAAGAAAAATGTTGCTCAACATTAGAGATGGGTAGAAAAACCGTTAGAAAAATCTGGATGCCACCAAGTAACAAGATGCGGATTATCTGAGTACCCCTCAAAGTCTACAAATTGTGCATCTGTTGGCAGTGGGTCAAGAACTTTCTGGGGCAAAAAAAAAAATATTAAACAAAATGAACATCCCAGTGAAAAGAACGGTAGTGTACATCAAACATCAAAGACATACAGCAGGTCTAAAACAAAGGACAGATACAAGCTCAGTACATTGTGTGTATATTCACAGGATTTCAGGCTGGTTTTTTTTTAATGCATATAATCTGTCTCTCATTAAATTAGTTTTTAATTTATTTTTTATAACCATGCTGCCTGGCTCATAATCATTTCTACTGTTGGAAAACGGACACAGGAGAAGTATTCCTGCTTTCTTTTTTCTTATTCTATTCAGTTTAAGATGCCAGAGATGAACATTATAAAAAAAAAATATGGACAGATAAGGCATCTAGTAGGGTGAACATGCCTGTTTTGACACAAGCTGCATGTACACAGACCTCTAATTCAGTGTTTTAAGCCAATCCAAATAATTTTTCCCTGGCCTGTTTGCAAAACAGAATATATTCCTTGGCTAATGGTAGCAGAACAAGATTAGCATAATTTGTAAGGACTGACAGGGGGCATTTCTTATCCTCCAGACTTACCTTGTATGCAGCTTGTCTCATAAACTGCTTTGCAGGCTGCTTCCATATAGCAGGCACAGTAATGACCCATCTTACTTCAGAGTTTTCAAACTCTGAGCCTGCTTGATCACTGAGCTCCTAAGCCAAAAGGAAAACATAAAAGATGGATGTTAAACTGACACCAGCCATTTGACAAGGGCACGTTGTTTTCTGCTGGCTCCACTAAAAATAACTTCCTCTTTTCCTAATTTTTAAATGTTGTCTGTGCTGCAAGTCAGAACAGTTAAATCACTGCTCAGTGTGCCAGGACTAGGGGTTACTGAACACCTTCTCAAGGAGGCCTTCAGAAAAACTCTAGGGCTGTTTCTTAACGTGGAATAGGAACAATTCATTTTCCAATGCAAAGCTCATGCTCTACTGAGCGTAAGAGCATGTTCACAGTACTTGAAGTCTGGGATCTGTTGCTAGTTTAAAGAATTCACACTTTGACCCCAATTAGTATATATATAAATATTTCCTGCATCGTTGACAAACACTGCAGTTTATAAGCTGTTTCTCAATGGCTGCTTTGTGTCACTCCTCTTTAAATCAAACTTTTACTTTCTAAAACCTCCACGTTAACTGCAAGTACTTCTTCCTAAAAATCTGAAGACACTTGACTGTTCATTGCTTGAAAAATGTTTGCTTTGAGCAAGCAGTCATTAGGAGTTTAGCTCTCCGCTTTTTCTTTTTTTAAAGAAAAGTCTGTATTGAATTTGCAAATTAGGTAATATTTGTGATACATTTTAGGAAAGATTCCAAGTAAAATGGTATTACCATATGTCCTATTTTAAATCTCCATTCAAACAGGGAGAGGGTTCAGAGAGGTGAACAACAGCCTCCTTTAGAATGGAAAACATTTTTCTGCATGCAAGTGCCACAGGGTTATGTTTGCTTAGCTATACTGCAATTAAAAACTTGTGGCCAAAACAGAGCATGCTCCCACAAGGGCACTTTGGTCGACTAAGCAGCAGTACTTCTTTACTGATCATCTAATTATTGAACACACACACACACAATTGCAGCCCTCTGCATACTAACAACAGTTGAGGATCTAGCCTAAAATAGGGAATGCTAAAAACAGTATTTGCCACTGTTCAGCATTCTCCCATAATATGTACATTTGCCTTAGGATTTCCTCAAATTGTGCTTCGTTATGGCTCCGTCTCATTAACATTCCACTCTGAAGCCTAAGCAAAGCGTAAGTTCCCCCCAGGTACAAAGATCTGAAAGTGTAGTGATAGGCTGGTTTTTTTTGTTGTTGCAGCTGTAAGGAGGTGATAATCAAAAGAGAATAAATTAACCCCACTCAAAGAAATGGGGTCAGATTTCTAATAAGGAAGCTCAAGGAACAAATTCTTCCTTAGTTTCACTGAGGTTGTATTAATGCATATGGGCTAGGGATAGAAGTTACACAGACTGGTTCAAGTTATCACAAACTGGTTTAAACTTGTAACAGAACAGAAGTTCAGTGCACATAAACCAGCTTCAAAATGGCTGAAACTGGGTTAAGATAAACCTGGTTGAATGTAGTATCAGCCTTAACTGATTTGGGTCAAACCAGTTTCTGAAACTTCTGTCCCAGACCCTTTCCTGGTTCAGCTTAAACACAGTCCCCAAGCATCCCAGCATGTTTTCCAGCCCTGGGCTGAGCTGTGCTGTCTGCTCCAGCAGGGAAGAGTTGGAGGGGGCAGGGGGGAGACAGGAAGGCAAACCCCGCCTAGGGTCTTGGGCCAGGGACAAGTGGTTAAACTTCCCTTCCCCCAAATACAGAGCTGCCCTGCCCTGCCCTGCC